CTTGGCTTTCTCGGGATCTTGTGGGGTTTGAGAATGGAGTGGAATGAATTGGACCTCTTTCCTTCTGTTAACTTTCCCTGTGATGTCTGTTTCCATCTCTCCCTTCCTGCAGTTATTCCTAGACATGGCTTACAGAGTCTTGGGAAAGTTGCCACAGCCCGGCGTATGCCACCGCCTGCAAACCTGCCAAGCTTGAAATCTGAAAACAAAGGAAACGACCCCAACATTGTTATAGTACCCAAGGACGGGACGGGATGGGCAAACAAGCAGGATCAGCAAGACCCAAAGAGGTAAGCAGCCGAGACAGGCAGATGGCGAATAGGAAGCTGGAACTCCACAACTGGCTTCTAGAATCCTTCCTGTTGGCAGCTTGGCAGCTGGTGTTGCAGCAGCAGACCAAGAGCGATGGAGAGATACCAAGTGACCCTTTTGGTATCTTTGTTTCTTGCTCCAGGCTTTCATTTTTCCAGCTTCTGGAGTTGACACACCAGCGTTTCTGTGGGCAGCTTTGTCCCAGGTGACCAGTGCCTCCTGTGCCTCATTAAGAAAGGCCTCACCCCACCTGAGGTGCTTATGCAATGGCCGGGCCCAGCTCCTGTAACAAGCACAGTAAAGCTGGCATTTGCACATCGCACTCCCGGTGACAGGCCCTGTTTCTGGGCTCCAGATGAGAAACACGGGGGGCCCTTTCTATCTGTGAGCCCAGCAGTTTCCCAAGCAGAAGAGACTGCCAACATTGCTCCAAGCAGCTCACTTCTTAATGAGCACAGCACAGAATCGTCATTATCCAGGGTCATTGTACAGCCTCCCAGGGGCTCACCCACTGCCAACACCACTTTCAGAAGCCTTAGGGGCCCCAGGGCCTGGCACGAATTATCATCATTAGAGGAACATAGCTACTGTTGTGGCTGTTGTTTTGGTGGAGCCGAAAGCCTAGGGCCCTACTTTGTTCCAGCTTTGCCTGGGGTTGTGGCAAACTCTGGGCAAACCCTTCACACTCAGGCTGGGCTGAGTCCCCTTCCACCTTTAGGCACCTCTGATTCTGTGTTCCAGCCAGTCAGAGGACAGACACAAAAGTAGGCGGTGGGGGCGGGAGGCAGGCCTTTGTAGACTGGCAGGCAAAAACCTGCTTCTCAGGCTTGCCTCTGGGGGAATGACAACAAACATGGTTGAGTCTCATGCACCCACTTGCCCTTGCGCTCTTCTGGCCTGTCCATAGATGCGTGGGAAGAGTAAAAGTGACCAGGCACTGCCAGTCAGGGCCCTTTGCTTTCCAGCCACATTGAAAGCAGTGGTGGCAGCTTTGTAAAACTGCTCCCTATAATTAGCATAACAGGATGCAGAGCGAGCAAACAATCTAGTCAGATGATTCTAAAGTAGTAACTGAGAAGTCTTCAGTATTTTCTTTTGTTTTTTGTTTTGCTTAGGAATCATATTGAGTATGCAGTATAGGTATGACTTAGTCATTGGACAGACCTGGGCTGTGACTTCCTGCCAGGGTCTGCTAGTGTTATATGGAGCCTAGAGGCCGGTTGGACTTGTGCTCTTCTGTGGGCCTAAGGTTTTCCTCAGACAGGTGGTTACAGGAATAAGTGAGATCAGGCTTGACCAGTGTAGTGCACAGAGCCAGGCACACAGGAAATGTGTCCACAATTACTACCACCTCTCTGTTTAAATGGTGCACACTCTGAGCTCTGTCATGAAACGAATACTACATATTTCACTCTTAAATAAAGAAATACCTCTGTGACTGGAACTTCTAGAGAAGGAAGTGTTACCCCTTTTATCCAGCGACACCCAGGATTAAAATTAAAATGGTCATACAGCTTTAATGACATTTGTAAAGCACTTCTTCCAGGGATGAGGTATGAGAGAGAGAGAGAGAGAGAGTTGGAGTAAAGCAGCAAACCTAAGGCAGTGGCTGGCTGCTGCCCCCTGTCTCATATCATTCCTCAAGGAGGTGGTGGAGTTGGGAGGGGCAGGTTGGGCCTTGCTGGGAGTCCATGCACAGGTTTGGAGACACTATCCAGAAGCTTCTATTTTAGGTAGAAGGTGATGTAAGAGAAGGATTTTTGTAATAACTTTGAATGGTGAGTTGTAATAATCATGAATGGTGAGTTGTTACTTGGGTTAAGTAAACCTTGGAAGACCGTGTATTTGTGGAGTTTGGCTTCAACTTACAGATAAGCCACTGGCACTGGGTGGATTCTGGCCAAATGGATGGCTGCCCTCTCTCCCAAACCTCCTCTGTTGAAAAGTTGAATTGAATGACTGGGAGGCTGCTGAGTCAGGAAGGCTTCCTTCAGAAACCTTCCTAGCGGTTCTCTTCCAGGATTTCTGTGGAGGGTGCATTGAAGGACACAGGGAGACAGTTTGGCAATACTAAAATTTCAAAACACTTAATATTTTTTGATCCAGTGATTCTTTGTCTAGGTTCTTACACTAATAAAATTGCTTATACACAGTACAAAGGAAGTAATACACAAATGTCCATACAGTTTTATCTGTAATAGAAAAACAATTGGAGATGACTGAGTGAGGCTGTGGCCCATTGGTGATGTTAGCTATGTAAAGGAAAATTTGTGTGGTACTTTTCCTCTGGGAGATGAGGTTAGGATCAGTTCTGCATCATATGTATTTATACACTTATTTTCACCAGGAATATATATTTCTTTGAACAACAACAAAAAAGATAGTGCATCGAGGGGATTGCAATGGATGAATTAAGCAAATTGTGCGTGAACTACCTGGTGGTCTGCTCATGGCAGACCAGGGCAGTCAACGCCCTGTATCTGTGAGCACTGGTTCAGGAGTTAGAGACTTGGAGCCCCTGCTTTCTGGTCACCCATTTTCCCCACTGACTTCCATGGCTTCTGTTGCTTGCAGTGAACTTTCAAATCATTGCAGCCAGAGAATGCCAAGAGGCAGATAAGTACCCTACCCAGTAAACTGTCAGAGTGAACAGACCTCAAACATAGTTCAGTTTCATTAGTCTTTGTTGGCCTAACAGTCTGTTGGGGAAGGTGTTCTCTTTCCTTGTCAGAGGGGGTATTTGCTCCCAGCTGTAGCTTCTGAATTCAGAGGCACCTGGTCAACTCATCTATTTGTCCTGTCTTTGTCTAGTTCCAGTGCAACGGCCTCTCAGCCGCCGGAGTCGCAGCCGCAGCCGGGTTTGCAGAAATCTGTTTCCAACTTACAGAAACCGACACAGTCAATCAGTCAGGAGGTAGGTTCTATTTTATCGGGCCTCATAGCCCTTGTTGTGGGGTGGGGGGAGTTGTCACCGAGGGGTGTGGTCCAGCATAACCCATTCATTTAAGAGCCTTTAGAAACTGAGGCTTAAAGATTGTTATCATCCGTGGTCAGTTGAATCAATTTAATCTACAGCTTTTGGTGAAAGACCCCAAATATAAACTAGACTCCTAACTAGCTACTTTTGTTCCTGTCAGCCCCTCAGACTAGATTTCGGGCTTGGCCAGGCCTCTTCCCAATGTGCTCCCTGGAAAACCAGAGTCAGAGGAAGACAAAAGTGATAGCCCAGGAGAGTTTAGAACACAAAATGAGCGTGCTGTGCTCCTGGGTGCATGTTAGGGGGCTTGTCTCTCAGAAGAGGGCTCGATGGAGAGCATTTTCCAAATTAAATTTTCCTAGGAACTCATATTTGCCAAATGTCTCCAAGGCTTTGTGTTTCCAGGCACACTTTGGAAAGCACTCAGCTTTCACTCATTATTTGTTGATCCATTTACAAAATGTTTATTTCTAAAGAAATTCATTATTTAACTGAGAAACAGCTAATACTATACTTGTGCATTAGAGTCTGTCTCTATATGGGGGGATTGCAGGAGGGTTGATTTAGCTGATGGCTAGAAATCTAGTTGAAAAGTCTGTGAAACCTTTTTTAGAAGATAAAGATGTGTAGTCAAAAAGTCCTAGCCTTCACGAGGTGTCTTGACAGCATCATGACTCTTCCAGGTTTTCCTTTGGTATTGCTGTTTGGGCAGTGTGGGTAAGGCCAGAGATGCTACTCTCCACCTGTAATAATGTAACCAAGCGAGGGGAGTGCTTCCAAAAGTTCATGGGAAAATTTTATTTTCACTTCATTTTCCCACAAACTTTTTTATTTTTATTTTTAAAAAATATTTTATTGAATTTTCCATGAACGTTTACACAGCCAATTAGGTTCCCATTTAACAATTATTACACGAATTAACTAGTGACTTTGGTTATGTTTTTCATAACGTGTCCACAATCTCATTCATCCTGCTCTCTGGTTCATTTCATTCCCAGGCATCTGATTTCTCTTGCTCTCTTCCTTTCCCTTTCTATCTTGGTGCAGAGCAGTGGTTGCCCATTTGGTCTCATGTAGATAATTTTTTTTTTTTATTAACATTTTATTAGGGTCTCATACAACTGTTATCCCAATCCATACACACATCAATTGTGTAAAGCGCATTTGTACATTGTTTCTCAAAACATTTTCTCTCCATTTAAACCCCCGACATTAGGTCCTCATTTTTCCCCTCCCTCCCCGCTCCCCCCTCCCGCATGAGCCCTTGATAGTTTATAAATGGGTATTTTGTCATATCTTGCCCTGTCTGACGTCCCACAAACTTTTTTAAAGACCTCTCGTAGATGGGAAAAGTCTGTGGCTTTGCCAGAAGGAGAAACACCCCCCCACCCCCACCCCCATGCTTTCATCCTCTTGGGAGCTATACTTTTAAGATTAAAGGGGAAAACAAACCAGGTTTTTGTGAAAAATCCTCATCTGTTGGTCTAAATCCACTGGGTCCTGTTGGATTTACATCCCCCTCTCATGCCCCCTCCCCCCACTGTAATTCAAAGCTATGAGAATATGGAATCCTGGTTTTTCAACCCAGTCTGTATATATGAATCACCCATGGAACTTGTTCAGAATCAGATATACTTGAACCTCACCACTGATACTGCTGGATCGGCTCTTCACTGAGGAAGGTTTGGCCAGCTGTTAGAAAAAAACTGCCTGGCAAGCCTATAGCATGCCTGGGTCTGGAGTGACCCTGTGCTTCCTTCAGTGCTTGCAAGAACAGTGTTGAAATAGTTGGAGGCCTTGCTATGGGCCATCTCCAGAGCGAGGTTATGGACATTTCAGACAGAGGAAGGAAAAAGCATTTTCCAAGGGGGTTATTCTGAAGTCAGGGTAGAGAAGCCCAGTCCTGGAGTTGGCAGGTGGATTGCTTCGTCTTGCGGGCAGTGCCTCTTAACTGTTACTTAGGGGTTTTTTCTCTCGTTTCTGGAAGCAAGTGAGGAGGAAGAAGAGACGCCCAGGATTTGGAGAGCTTTAAAATTTTACCCCAGAGATAGGAACAGCAGTTTCTGCTCTTTAAAGAATCCCTGTCTATTGATTTAAATCGACTGGATCCTGTTGAATTTATATTTGAGTGAATGTCACCAGCGATGTTATTAGCCTCTTTTGGGTCCTGTAGGCATATGTTCTTTCAGCCCCTGATGAGGAAGGGCAGGGAAATAATCCCAGTGTCTCTCAGCACCAAGTGGGAGGTGCGGGCGGGTTTGCAGTGTTCCGAACGAAGAAGGAGAGTAGAGACCCATCCTAGCACCTCCTTTCTTCCTGTTGAATTCTTGTGCTTTCCCAACTTCACTGCTCAGTCATGCTGCTGGTACATTCCACCTGTGTTCTGTGTGGACCGTACACACAGCAACCAGAGCAATTCTAATCAATAAAAAGGTTGTTGTCAGTTCTACATTGAAGGCAAGAGAAACAGCTGCCAACCTTGTGTGCATATTGAGAACAGTAAGTGGGGGCATGGGGAGGAATGATAGGAAAGAAGAATTAATCCCTAGCCCAGTAAGTGGTAGGACCCTCTGCCCCGGCTTTTATGTGCGTCTGCCTTCGGTTGCCAGGGCAAGGTTGTTAGTTGAATGTTGTTGGTAAAGGCAGACAGGGTCAGCGTTTGCAGACCTAAAGGCCTTTGGGTACGGTCAGACTGAACCTATGTCCTGGACCTGCCACTCTGGCTGGGTGTTTTAAGCCTAGTCACTCCTCTCTGAACCTACTTTCCCAGGGTGTGGTAAGAATTTGGTAAGGCAGGGTGTGCCTAGCTTTTACTAAAGGTAAACCAGTGGATCTGAGTCCAAGGTGGCAGCTCTCCAGATCAGGGAAGGTGGAAGGCCTCTCACTTGGGGAGGCATGTCTTGTAGAATAACAATAATTACAGAGGGTGATGTAACTGGCTTGTCCAGCAAAGATCAGGCACACTGGGTTTCCGGTGTTTGCGTTCTTCTGTTAGAATTGGCACGCACTGTTTTGAGACATAATTTGGCATTAGGCTTTGCTTCCTCTGTGGCAAGACAGAGTAGCTCTAGGGGACATGAGAGACAACCTAACAAATGTTCCAGACCACAGTGTGAAGGCTAACATGGTCTTGAAACCTTTCTGTGCTGTATGACCAGCTCTGGTGACCGAACTAGCCACTTGCCCCTGTCTTAGTCTTTATCTGTAATGTGGTCCTTAGGCCCATTGCAGAGAGTTTAAGATGATGCCCCTAGTGTTGCTATGTTTAAATACTTCTCACCAATGGGAGTGGTTGTGTCCACCTGAGGTTTAAGCCTGTTTTAGCTCCTTGTCCTAGCATGCTTAGCTAGTAGACAGTAGATTTACTGGGTTGACTGTTTTCTAATTTTCTCCCTTTTTTCAGAATATAAATTCAGTGCCAGGTGGACCAAAGTCATGGGCACAGCTGAATGGAAAGCCAGCAGGACACGAAGGTGGTAAGTTCATGTTGGAGTGGGGTGCATTGGGGTGGATAGTTGAGTAAGGAAAGGGGTGTACATTTCCTGCACCTTTCTGGTTGGGTCTAGGGGCAGTCTTTGGCCTGGATGCTTTTGCGGAATTTCTTAACCTGAGGAGGTTAATACTCTCTGGAGCCCTTGCATTTACTACATTGGTGGAAATGCTGATTGTATGAATGCTGTCGGCTCTTTGATCTCATTGATGATTATTGCTAAAGATGTACCTCTTGAGACCGGAGTGGCTGGCCCTGCATTCGTCAGCTGGGCTGTGCTGCTTATGGAATTAATACCTGTTCAGTGGTGTTGCCAAGATGCATCTACTTCCTTTCTCTTGGGAATGCAAGGAGGAGGTGTTGTGTTGCATGGTGTTAACTTCAGGCCTGGGTTTATAAATAATCTAGCCTTGGGGATTGCCTTGCTTGGTTTTGAGCATTTACACAAAAGCAATCAGAGAGTTCTGTGGTGTTTGTTATCCATTAGTGTTGCCCTTGGCCTAGGAAGCACTCAGAACATGCAGCCAGCTCCTGCTGCTACAGAGACATTGATTAGAGGAAGGTTGGAGAGATGGGAGAAGGGGAGATTGGTTTTCTCCTTTTTAAGGTCTTCAAAGCTATATGCTGGGCAACTGCTTAGATCGCGGATTGTAAATTCCAGAGGCTGCCAAGGCCAGGTCTGGAACAAAGTAGGGAGGTCTTTGGGTGATAGATGAAAGGGATTAGGATGGAGACACACCACAGTGTGTGTATCTTGGACAACAGGTAACTTTGTTCATACACAACCCTGCCCCACCCCAAGCATTTGGTGCCAGCTAAGAATTAATGCAGGACTAGGGTCAGTTGATTGTTGTGATTCAGATATTTTGAGCACACTGTGCAGACCAAATTAGGCAAACCCTCCAGGCTGCATAGGGAATCATAATAGGATGAACAGTTATTTCAAAGTAATTCATTAATGAGATACCACACTTGTTCTTTCTTTGCTTAAGCAGCCTAGGCAACCTTTCTGTAGACCTTTACTTCCTGTCTGGGAGTTGTCATCCATTTTCCATATATCCCTGCTGTCAGCCAAGGCTTGTTTTAGAACACACAGTCTCACCCTTTCCCCAAACCCCACTCAGACTCCATTACGTAGAAGGACGTGCCCCTTCTGGGTTCAATGGCTGTGGGGTTGCAGACTTCCTCAATCTTGAATGTGAAATAACCAAATCCGTAAATGGCTTTGGTGGAGCTTTCCAATCTCCAGCTTCTTCAGAGCAACCAGATCCAAATGCTTGGCCCCCTCCATACATTGTGGGGTGGGGTGGGGGCAGGGAGTAGGGAGTAGGGAGAAGCAGTGTGGCCCCACATCTTAGCATTGCTCACTTTCCCACCTGATATGTGAGCTGGAGAGAGAGAGCTCTGGGAGTAGGGAGCTGGGAAGTAGAATTTGGCTGTGCTGGATACACATCTCAATAACCCGAGAGGTCATTGGGTTATTAAAGATGCATTAATATACAAGGTTAGTATACCCTGTATTTTTGAGAAGTTACAATTCTTCCCTTTTTTTAAATAAGTAGAATGTTTTAGTTTTGATCCTACCAAGATGAAGAAAAACATCACAGTTCCCTGCCTATCAAAATACTAAGGAGCCCTGCCACGCCCTGGAAAGGGGCTTGGTTGCTGACCCAGATAGCCGCAGTGGGCGTCCATCAGTTGAGAGGTGGGAGGAGAGGCCCATCGAGGTCACCGTCTAGGAAACCCTACTCTGTCTTGCAGTCACTGAGCACGTCGCCCCGGTGACATGCTCATAACAACAGTGTTGGGATATGCATATGCATGTCCTTAGCTAGCAGTTGAGCTTGTAGGAGATGGTCATATAAATTGTACTTGCCCGTGTGGGAAATTACACGTTACTCATTTTTATATGATTACTTGTAACAACTGAAAATTTAGAAGCGGTCTTTGAAATCACCATCAATTTATGGTCCGTTAATGAGTTGCTATTGGGCCATTAAAGTGACCGTTCTTTACTGCTATGGCAAAATCTCAGATATACTCTTGAGCTGAAGAAAGCAGAGAATAGTCTGTATAATGTGCCGTTTGTGCAGAAAATGGGGGTGAGGAAAATACACTTAAACAAAAGCATGTTTAATTTGTGAGAAGTCTCTGGGTGAAAGGGCTTTTTTTTTAAGAGAGCAAGCGAGCCTGGCAGAAGGGAAGGAAGAGAAGGTCTCAGTGCATACCTTTTTGCTTTCGAGCAATAGGACTATTGACCTGTCAAAACCAAAAGTTAATTCAAGAGTAATTGTGGAGTATAGTACAATACTCTGTAAACATCAGAGAGTTCCTTCAGGATACAGGCAAGTCCAGAAGCTGGAGAGGAGAGAGTTGACACACTCAAGGCCCTGCCAGGTGGGGGTGAGAAGCAGGCTCCTGGCTCACCTCTTATGCCAGGGTCATGTGTCCAGCAGAACAGTGAGGACTGAGGGGTATCAGCTATGAACATTTTCATGACTCTTTGGAATTCCACTCTTCTCACGCAGGATATTGATGTTGGTCTGTCTCACCTGAGAGCCCCTTCCCTGGAACACATCCACGTGCCCTGATTATGTGGTTTGGGCAGAGACCAGAGTTCCAAGGCTCAGGTCCTTTAATAAGTGACCTTGGAGGAAACCACTGAATTCTACTGCCTCCGTTTGTCCCGGAGAGAGGAGATAATGTGAAGAATTCCCATGTTTGACATAAAAAACGGAACATTGAAACCTTAGGGATACTACTGCTATTGGTTTGAAATTTTGAATTCTACCCTTTATCTCCTGTGTGTCTAAGGAGGATTCATCCATCCATTTAATTATTTTTTACCAAAGTTGAAACAGCAGCATTGGCTATTTGTTTTTGAATTTTAATTCTACCATATTAACAAAATGAACGACCTCCCTCGGGAGTCATCCCCTCAGTAGAGCAGAAGTTCTTCCTGATCCTTTGGCTATTTATCTCTGGTGAGTTACGTGACCACTTAACAGACCTGGCAGGTTTGTTTGACCTTGGACCTCTTTATTAAAGGGAATGGCTGCCTTGTGCATCTGCAGGCGTCCCAGCTAGCTGCATCTTTCTGACAAAGCCCATGAATCTGTAGTATTAAGCATCATACCTGTAGGGAATGTGAGTTCAACTATTGGGGGAGCCGGGCATACCATACATACTCAGACTTCGGGCATGTGCTACTTATTACAGATAAGAATCTAATTTCACTCCTAAGATGCGGTGTGTTTTTTTATTGGGGGAGGAAAAAAAAGCTACTCAGATGCTCTTCTGGTGACAGGAAGAAAAATAAGAAAAGGTTTCTTCTGTAAAGTTAAAAGAATGATGG